ACAGTTTTATGTCGACTCTGAACGGCGATTGTACTTTATGGGAAGCTGTGTTTCATTTTCAAGGTTTGCGCACTTCTAACCGCTACACCCCAGCGGCATATATGCGAGACCCAAGAATGATAGAATACAAGATTGCGCCAATCGAGCTGAGAGTAACTGGCCGTGACGTCAATAAATACCAGAATGAGAGAGCAAGACGAACTCGACAAGAAAAAGAGGAAGCATCGAACAAAAGGCAGTATTGCCAAGTTTTCAATTTGAAAAAGCACCAAATATTTATTGGTGTATTTTATGGACTTTATATGCATACATAATTATATTGTAAGGATGCCGATTCAAATTAATAAAAATCAATGTTTCTTGCACGACGGTCGATTTTTTCTGGCTTGATTGAAGTTGCTGCCACATATTTTGTTGTCGCTTATGATTGTGCCATGATTTTATTAAAATTTTTGTGAAGTTGCTTACCACGCTTATGATTGCTATAAATTTTGCTTCCATTTTTTTAAGATTTTATAATTTGGTGTCTTCAAACTAAAAACAAAAGCACCAAAAACGCACCAAGCACCAAACTCAAAAATGTTCGGGTTTTGAATACCCACTAAATTTGGTGCGAAAAGCATTAAGTTAGCAACAGTGAATGTAAACAAAAGTATTTTATGACGTCAGCGATTGGGTGGATGCTGTCAAATCGACGATGAGAGGGTTAGCGGTCCGCGAATGGCGCGACCTTTATTTTCTGGATCGTGTGCGAGACCTATATTCAGATAAATTTTTTGGTTTTTGGTATCGATATTTGGAATATCGAGTCTTTTTATTCCGATATTAATGGGTACCCGATATTTTTAAAGCGATACTTTAAATGAGTACCATATCGATACTTACGGTTCGATATCGTATCCCTAAACTTAACTATTCACTTTTAATCAAAACTAACATTATAATATAATTATTATAATGCATATTATGCGTTATTATGCTTGTTATGCAGAGTAATATGAATCTGTCGATCTCCGTGCGCTTGAATTTTGTTGCACACATACGTTCACTCCATTATATCTGCGTACACCCTTGTTTTTTAATTAGTCACAATAGGGATCGTCATCTAAAGTGATAAAGGGATAAATTGCTTATATGTATCAGTTTATCCGCATTTTTACATGAACGTGTTCGTAGCAAAAGCGGCCGCTGGCAACCTGTTAGGTTTGAATTAGGGATGGGTAAATTCGATATTCGAAGCTTCGATATTCGAATTTTAATCGAATTTTTCCAGAAAAAATCGAATTTCATCTTTATTTCCAAAAAATCAACTCTTAAAATTTTTTCTTTCTGACTAAATTTGCCATCACTGTGAAAAAATACATGTTTTTCGATTTGATGCATAAAAACAAAAAATCTGTGCCAAGAAGGAACTGTTATTCCAAATTCAATTTAAAATTTTCTTTATAAAAAAAACTAGTTTCTTTGTTGATTTTTTATTTTAAATTTTGAGAGGCTTTTACGTTAGTAGCATGAAGCTTTTGCCTGAGAAGACCCCTAGTAAAATTTTCCGGAGAATAATTTTTTTGAATATATCAATCCATAAACGATCTGCCAAATTTGCTTTTTGCGAGATTTCTTGAAGTAAGGGTCAAATATGACCGTTTTAGGCGGGAGATAATGGGTTAAAATGTTCTACGAAAATATTCCCCAAGAAATTTTAATAGATATGTCTTGACCTTTAATTTCGCGCAGACATTTATTTTAACTATTTTTTCGACTTTTTTGAAAACCACTTAGGCCGAGATATGAAAACTTTAGTAGGCCATAAAATAAAAATACGAGCTAACTTTTGCAAATCCATCGAGCGTTTTACTACTGGATGGGTAGACATTCAGAAAATGTTAACAAAGTACGGGCTGGTTTCGGCTGTCGCAGAGTGTAATTTTAGATTAACTTTTTAAACAGGTGGCCACTCCCTTCAAGCTCCTCAAAAATATTTTAATTGTTGCATAGTATTTTAAGTACAACACTTCTTTAAATAAATTCGACTTTTCAAACAGGTGGCAACCCTCCCAAATGTAATCAAAAATTAAGTTTATTCAAAACCATTTCGATTGATACCCATATTGGAGTAATTTATTTAACTTATTAAATATGTAATTTGATTTTGATTTTCTTACATATGGCAAAAAACTAAAACCATCTACATTTCCTTCCCCCTTATTGACACCTATCCCTTTTTGAAAATCGAACGAACGATACAGATTTTATGACTTGGTGTTAAATATTTAACGCAAACATCTGCGGAAGTGATTATTTGAATTTGATTTTCTAACCTGTGGCAACCCTTTTCATAGAACTAAAACTGTTAAATATTTAACGCAAACATCTCCGAACTCGATTAAGAAGTTTCACTTAAAAAAATTCGAATTAAATCGAATTTGCACCACCGAATTTCGAATCGAATAATCGAATGGTTGGGCAATGTTCGAAATTCGGAAAAAATCGAATTTCAACCCCCCACTACCCATCGCTAGTTTGAATTTTACTGAAATATATACATTTATCTACCAAAGTCGTTTGATAAAGATATAAACTTTGGTTAAATAAATGTAAATAGATATAGATGTCCATACGCAGATATAATGGAGTGTATATTTATTTTGAATAAATGAAATCTCAATTTGTTGCTGTTTTAAATGAAAATGTATTATTTAATAGTAGCCATTGGCTTGGCTCACCGGTAAAGCGCATTTTCGAAGGTGCTAATGTCCGGAAAATTCTATAATATTAAAACACGACTGTTATACATATGTTCATACTAGGGATGTTGCGAATGTGGAATTTTAGACATCCGCGGATGCGAATGCGGATGCGGATGTTTAAAAGCTAACATCCGCGGATGCGAATGCGAATGCGGATGTCATGTATTTTTAAAAAATAATTTAGATGGGTAAATTAGGTGATTTAGGTAAATAAAAAATCGAAAGGTTAATAATTTTTAATAATCTGACTTATCCTGAGTTTTTCCCGAAAAAAAATTCACCCGAAAATTTGTATTCCGCCCATAGTAAATCTGCCTTATCCTGAGTTTCACCTGAAAAAAATTCACCCGAAAATTTGTCATCCGCCCATAGTAAAACCATGGAAACCAAGAGTGAAAAGTGAATCGGTTCGGGGAAAATGGAACTCATGATAAGGCTGAATATGAACATGAAAACCAAAAGTGAAAAGTGAACCGGTTCGGGGAAAATTAAACTCATGATAAGGCTGAATGTTTTTTTAGTACTTGAATTTAAAAATTGGAACATTGTACTTAATAAAAACTTTTCGAAGGGTCGTAAATCAAACCTGCGCCTCTATATAACTACTCGCTCGAGGCGACAAACTTGAAAAACTTGAAAATTGGCAAAATTGTAAATTCTTTTCGATTGACACTGCACCAGTTGAGAGGACTTTCAGTTATATTTATTTATTTTTATTGCGGTGCAATAGTTACTTTTTGAGAATTTCATCGGGGCTGCAAATGTCGGATATATCCTTCTGACTTTCATCTTCACAATCTAGCATCATGTGTGCAATCGTTGTTTAACCCTCTAGTAGGCCAATTTTTTTATGAGTTGAAAAATTCAGGAATGAGTGATTTTAGCACGAGAAATCCAAAAATGATGTCCATTTCGATATGTGACAGTAACTTTTTCCTACAGGGGAGAAAAACCAAGATCGTCTGGAGACGGGCTCACCGATATACTTTGACATATTTTCAGCTTTTTCTTACACAATGTTGACCTACGAACCGGCAATGCCGTCTGCAGACGGTAAAAAATGCAAACTGGGTTTTTATATGTCGGCAAGCCGGTCTGTATACGGTCTGTGTTCGAAAGCAATTTTCTCCATTTCGAAACTTATATCAAAATACGGTGCTTTTAACTACGAAATCCACCGAATTTTTTTATATCAAAAAAAATTTTCAAAAGAAAAAATTTCTTTAATTACGAAATTACTAAATAGCAAGAAATAATTAATTTTAACAGTGTCTTTCACAATCTGTAATTCAACTGCCGATTAAAATAAAACGGATTGACATAACGGATTCAAATTTACTTCGCCGTAAGGGTACGATTTTTGTCTAAAGATCGTGCCTTACGAATATAGAAAAAAATTATTATAGGTGCACTAAAAAGGTGTTTAGTTAATGACCGTCTGGAGGCGGTTCAGCCTACTAGAGGGTTAAACCCCGTTTTTTTCCAAAGAATTATTTATTCTCATTCTTTTAGTTGTTTCGGAATTCGGAGAAACTGTCACGTCATTAGCGTTTTTCGATTTCAGTTTTTGTAACTCAATTATAATGCTTTCTTCTGTGACTGGTTAGATATACGTCTGTGCACTTGCACAATATTCCAGGGTCCGAAAATAACAGTTAGTTCTTCCGAGTTAAATTTGGCCTAATATTTTTTATTCCGAAATAAACGTCCCATCCGGATAATAAACAAACCGCTTATCCAAATTAAACAAATTTGGTATCATATGAAAGAGGACTGAAATAGCTTTTAATAAAGAAATAACGAATGAAGGTTACCACCTCGATTTAAATTTTTTTATAACTTAATACTAAAGAAATTCATGTAAATATATACCTGACCCACTGTTTGTTCTATGGTAATTAATTAAAATTTTTTATTGAAATATTTTTCAATGTGTGGCTTTCCTCGTTTAGACATTTCAGTTTTAAAGCTATTTCAGTCCTCTTTCATTGGATACCAAACTTGTTTAATTTGGATAAGCGGTTTGTTTATATCCGGATAGGACGTTTATTTCGGAATAAAAAATATTTGGCCGAGTTAAACCCGTAAAAAAAATAACTGTAATTTTCGGTCCCTTCAATATTCGCATTCGCGAAAGATCCGCATTGAGTTTTGCGAATGCGAAAGCGAATGCGAATGTTAAAATTAATGCGGAAGCTCCGCGGTTGCGAATGCGAATGCGAATATTCGCAACAACCCTGGTACATACATAGATATATTCATTTTGTGCAACTTGTTTTTATTTCTTTAGGCAACTACAAAGTTTCAAAATGGTTTTGTATGATTTCTCTTCTGTATATATTATCACTTTGCCCTCTAAGTGAAATAGAGGGCACGGAAACCTGCGAGTTCAAAATCGCATTTATCTCTGAGTCCAGGGGAGGAGCGCCCTCACCGTTATTTAAATTGCAAACATTGTGCAAAACCGCAGTTGCAACTATAGTTCTTTCCACTTCTCTACTGTGTAATCTGATGCCCAATGAAAGTACAGGAAAGCGTTTTTTCCATACTCCATAAGAACGTTCGACACAATTCCTAGTCCGGATTTGGGATTCATTATATAGTGCTTCAGTTGGTGTATTTACTCTCAAGAGTGGCGTCATAGTCCATCTATTACATGGGTATCCGCTATCAGCAACTACTATTGCGTTCCCAAACTCATTTCCTTCAAATCGACTATATATTCGAGAATTTCTCAATTTAGTGGCATCATGTGTGGACCCTGGAAAATGTGCAACGATATCCATAATGTTTAAATGGCTATCGCAAAGCGTTTGAACGTTTAACGAAAAAAACCATTTCCGATTACGGTACACCTCAGCATCATCACCACCTAAAATAAGCTTGTGTGTAGCACTTGACCATCTACATGTCGACACCTGAGTGGAAGCCAGTTCGAAAACGATCTATCTCAGAAGAATACCCTATCTCAGAATTTGACTGAAGAACGCCCTATTCCAGAATTAGGTTAAAAAAAATGCCCTATCTCAGCTGAAAATGTGCTGAGATAGGGCGTTTTTGAATCGACAGCTGAGATAGGGCGTTCTTCAACCAAATTTTGAGGTAGGGCATTTTTCTGAGATAGATCGTTTTCGAACTGGCTGCCGAGATAGGTCGATCTTCCACTCGGCTGACGATATAGCAACATATTATACTAACCTGGAGAAAGGATCTTTACATGCGTACAATCCATAGCTGCAATCACTCGCGGAAACTTTGCTTTCTTATAAAACTGTTGCTGTATTGCCCTCTGCCTTCCAACTTCCCGAGGAAATTTAATGAATTGCATGCTGTGCTCTTTGAAAGGCCACTTAGGTCACCGCCAGTTCTTTGGACACACTCGAGCGCATAGAAACGAAGTGTTAATAAAAACATATCCTGCGGCGACGTTGCTCCATTTCTGGAATTAGTATATACTTTTAAAACATTTCCCTTTATAATAAATTGATTTGTTGCATTTACCTCGATGTGCTATGCTTAATTTTGTCTCTAATGAGCTCCAACACCATCCAAGCTGCATTTTTCGTCACAAGAAACCTGCACCGGAAATCGGCCTCGTCGTAAAATGTAAAAAAATTTCGACGTTGTCTTAGCATACGTGGCCGGCGGTTTATAAACATATTAACAATTCTTTCATTTTCCTTGTCGCTATCGTCTGAGTCCATTTCTTTTAAATAATATTTTAGTTTGCGCGATGCTTGCACAAAAAACTGGTTTGTGTATATTGATCAGCTGATTAAACGTGTAAAATCTCTGAGTGTAGTTGTTCCGATTTAATTTTTATTTAAGTGAAGAGCATAGGCCACTTAAAACAAAATTAAAAACAAATTAAAATTGATTGGTGAAACCAAAAATTCGCAAATTAAAGTAATTTTCACTTAAATGAATCCGGTGAAACGCAGCCTAAGTAAAAAATTACGCACTGATCACGCGTTTTCTCAAGAAGATATTTCAGCCATGATAATTAGCACATTGACCTTTAATCTCGGATTCTTCTTCTGAAGAAGTAAAGAAGTATACTATATACCCACAAATGTAAAATGAGTACCGCTCAACGACTACCACAAGAAAATTAACGCTTTCTATAACATACGCGAAATTTAGTTACAGTTGTGAGCAGCCTTTTTTCTTGCATTTGGTAACTGGCACATTTGTTCAATACCTGTCATTTTATTTCACAGAACATAAAAATAAACGTCTGAAAATCCCAAGCTTTAGGTCTGGCCGCTCAAGAAGCTATATCTTAATAAAAAGTAGATTTTGTGCAAGTTGCACTACACCTTTTTCAGTTTTAGTTCAGAAAGTAGCTATTCAAATGCAGAAAGTTACAATTCAAGTTCAGTATTTCCATTTCAAATTCAGAATTTTAATTTTAAACTCAGAAAGTTACAATTCAAATTCAGAGTTTCCATTTTAAATTCAGAAAGCTGCAACTCAAATTCAGAATTTCCATTTTAAATTCAGAAAGTTGCAATTCAAATTCAGAAAGTTACATTTCAAATTCAGAATTTCCATTTCAAATTCAGAAACTTTCATTTCAAATTCAGAAAGTTACAATTCATATTCAGAAAATTTCCAATTACATGGCTTATGAAATTCTAGTAAAACAGCTGCAAGTTTTAAGCGGCTAAAAAGTCGCGTGGATTTTTGTTATTTTTTTTCTGACGGCTTTTGCGGTTTTTTTTATATAACATGTGAAATTTATAACAGGTAATCTTTAAGAAAAAAACGATCCCGACTTCAATTCCCGTACAAAAATTTAAGACTACCGTTAATTTCTTCATAATCCAATGATGAATGAGGTAGAGGTGCCAGATCTAAATAATCGATAATAATTGAATCGATTTGAATCGAAATAAAAATAATCGATGCTGGAAGAAATCGACAAAAAATAGATCGATTTATATATTTGGTCAAATAACGTCTTTTACTTAATTTTTAGAAAGAAACAAAACACGGCGATCTGACCAAACTATTATTGTAATTTTTAAAGCATACATACATTTTTCATAACGGTTTCAGTATTCAGATTTATTCAAACGCTATCAAGAAGCTAACAATTCGTAAATACTTTGAAAAAAATAAACAAAATGACAAAAAATTTATGCCCATGCATGGAATGGTAAAAACGTTTCTTTTTCACTTATGTGCAGAATTTTGAAAAAAAATTACATTTGCAATCCGGAGTTGAAGTAATAAAATAGCATTCTCTGTTCATTTTCTGACATTCGGCTGCCTTATATTTCACAATGTTGCCTTTATTCGTTGAACGTTTTATGTGTTGCTCCTTTGGAAGTATGTATTTACATATATTTGGGGGGCAATTTGGTCATTTATTATTTGCTTGCAACATTGTTTTTTTTTCTAAAATTTCCCGTTTGAATTTTTGTGGAAATTTTGTTTTTTTCTATAACTTTCTATAACGTTTGAATTTTTGTGAAAAATACTATATAATTTATTTGTGATTAAAAAATTAATAATGCCTAGCCAAGCTGTGTAATTTGCAGAAAAACGTGGACTTACGAGGGCGTTCGTTTGTTACATTCACCAGCGTAACAGGTTACGCTGAAAAGTTGGATATTTCAAATACTTAATGGCGAAGTAATTATTATCCCACAGCCATGAAATAGACCTTTCAATAAATGTGAAAAAGCTATTTTTTAAGTGCAGGACGCATTTCCGTATACATTATTTTAATAAGCGCCTGAGGGGCTAAAGGTATAATCGATTAACCTTTATAAACCTCCCATATATACCTATTTAAACTTATTTATTTAAACCTTACAACCATTAATATCACGCGTTGCGTTTTTGTATTCACGTTGCTGATTTCATGAATCTAATTTCATCTCTTCATAAAATTATCAAGATTAGTCTATGCATTCGTCGGTGAGTCCTTGGAAGTATTCATTGTGCAAAATCTTGTTTACTAATTTCACCATTTTGAAAAGGGTTTTTGCCTCAAGACATCGAGTTGTACGGCGTTAACTGTCACTTTTAATTGGTTAATGCATTGGCTACTTTTATTAAAATTTTTGAATGCATTTGTCGGTGAGTCCTTGAAGTATTATATGTGAAAAATCTTTTTTACTAATTTCCCCATTTTAACAAATTTTTCTGCCTAAAAATATCAGTTTGTGCAGCATTAACATAATGTTTTGAAACCGTAGTTGGACCTTTCATCTAGAATGATATAGACACTTCTCAATCTGGGTGGGCTTCAGTATCTACGTTCTTGATTACTTCTCTTTGTGTGAACTATTCCGTGGATTTAGTTCATCACACTACTCTTATTAGCGTTAAAATCTTTATTTAAGTTTCTAATTGTTATTTATTACATTGGCTGTAAATTCTTAAAGCTCTTTGTTATTGTTAGTGTTTGTCTTTCAATACTAAAAACAAGCGTAATCCACAAAATTGTTTAGCTTCTACATATGTATCTAATTTGAATAAAAAATAATAAAGTATGCTTAGTTAATTTAAATGGCTCTTTTATTTTTCAAATAGGAATATTTCAAAAGTAATTTTCAATATTATGTATGTATATGTATTAAATAAAAAACTTCAAATTATTACCCCTTTTGTAGTCAAACAGGGTAATTCTTTTTAATATTTCTGGCCTTTAAGAAAAATCTAAGGGGCGAACACTTCCAATAAGGTAGTGTCAAATCTTCCTTCTCGCTCTTATTACTTTAATAATAATAATAATCCCAATGGTTTTTACCCTCCATTCCCGCCCATCCGCACGAGGGGCGCAGTCCGCATGACGTACTTCACCTGGTATTATTCCACCATGGGTCGTTCATACAATTGTGTTGGCAAAGTTGCCATGGAAATTCATCATTAACCCAACTTAAGGAAATGCTTAAATTTTTTTTATCACAAATGAGACAAAATTGAATGTTTTACTTCGAAACTAACCACTATTTTAAAAAGTGTGTAATACAATGGGCCTTACATATATGTATATGCAGATTTTTTTTGCAGTACGGACGCTTTTAAGTTTTTTTTTTTTTTGTTTTCGCACAAACTCTATATTTACCCTTTTTAAAAAAGATTTGCTGCAAATCTGAAAACGTATTCAAATTCTTTCTAAAAATATTAATTAAGGAGTGCAAAATTTTTAGGAAAATTTCCATAAAGTTTGGAATTCCGATCTTTGGAGTTTATGTTGTAGTATTGGACATACTTTTATATGTGTAGAGTTATTTCCAAGAGGCTTTCCTGAGGAGATTTTTAATCGGAAGAGAAAGAGAGGCAGGCCATTGAATTCTTTGGCCTTTGATCTCTCAAGTTAGAAAGGTGAGAGGTGTCAAGCCCCATTATATTATTGTACCAGCCTTCAATTCAAATTTCTTTAAAATTTTATAGATTTTCTGAGGTAAACGGTAGATCAATATGCATCGATTGAGGAAAAATCGAATGTCTATTCTCGAATTTTTTGAATCGATTCACGGATCGAATCGGAACCAAAAAATCGACAAAACATCGAATCGCAAGGGCTGGATTAATCAATATTTGATTTAAAAACGGCATCTTTATTCTGAGGTACCACCTTTCCTTAAAAAAAAAATTATGAAAATCGGTTAATGTAGTCCAAAGTTATGCGGTAGCATACATTAGAAAAACCTCCTCCTTTTTTGAAGCCGGTTAAAAACTAGCGTTGATTTTTTATTTTTTGAAAAGTAGAAAAGCCGTCAACGCAAAAAAAAAATTAAAAATTAACGCGTGTTTTAGTTACTTAAAACTTACACTTGGTTTACTAGAACTGCAGATAACAGCATACCCAAAATTTTACTAAAAATTCAAAATAAAAAAAAAAAAAAATTTTTTGGAGTTTTTATAAATTCTGTATAAAGAAAAACATTACCGATATTTAACAAAAATCACCATGCACTCACTTTTGATCACCAGTTTACATATTTATATGCATCAGAAAACAAGTTTATGCTTACATATTACCATGATACAATAATTTTTAGAAGGTAGTTTCACTTCTTATCCGCCATGTTAGCTATCTGACAGAAAACGTGTTTCGTATTTTTTGTTGTACCAACTTTTTCAAAAAAAAAAAATCCAGATTTTGACGTTGGAAAAATAAAACAAAGAAAAGCCAAACATATAAGTAGAGAAATTTTCGAATATTTTGTAATAATTTTCTTCATAAAAAATTAACTGCTGCTTTCGTGGATATTGCAACACACGGAATAGATGTAAGGACACAGCTATAAGAGCCACCGCACACCACAGACTTTATCGGCCGCCTATTTAAATGATAGGGCTCGCTTGAAATATGTACATACATGAAGATGTATGGAGGTGCGCACACTACACCAGCTTAATCGC